TTCACTAAACCCTAAACCTCAACTGCATCTCGTAATGAATAATGTGGAAATTGAGCAAGTTGAGGTGACTAAACTGCTTGTAGTAACCCTGGATTGTAGACTGTCATGGTCAAAGCATATTGATACAACAGTAGCTAAGATGCGGAGAAGTCTGTCCATAATGAAGCGCTGCTCTGCCTTCTTAACAACACTATCACCAAGGCAGGTCCTACAGGCCCTAGTTTTGTCGCACCTAGACTACTGTTCAGTAGTGTGGTCAGGTGTCACAAAGAGGGACTTGGGAAAATTGCAGTTGGCTCAGAACAGGGCAGCACGGCTGGCCCTTAAAAATACACGGAGAGCTAACATTGATGCCATGCATGTCAGTCTCTCCTGGCGCAGAGTGGAAGAGAGATTGACTTCATCACTGCTTGTTTTTGTGAGCGGTGTCAACGAGCTGAATGTACCGAGCTGTCTGTTTGGAATACATTTACATTTTAGTCATTTAGCAGACGCTCTTATCCAGAGCGACTTACAGTTAGTGAATACATTTTTTTTTTAATACTGTCCCCCGTGGGAAACGAACCCACAACCCTGGCGTTGCAAACGCCATGCTCTATCAACTGAATACCCATGCATACCCCACAAGAAATGCCACCAGAGGTCTCTTCACAGTCCCCAAGTCCAGAACGGACTATGGGAGGCGCACAGTACTACATAGAGCCATGACTACATGGAACTCTATTCTACGTCAGGTAACTGAAGCAAGCAGTAGAATCAGATTTTAAAAAACAGGTATAAATACACCTTGTGGAACAGTGGGAACTGTGAAGAGACACACACACAGGGACATACACACATACAGACACTCCCTCTACACACACGTACACATGGATGTTGTATTGTAAATATGTGATAGTGGAGTAGTGGCCTGAGGGAACACACTAAATGTATTGGGTAAAGTGTTATGAAATATAATGTCATGTAATATTTTAAATTGTATATAACTGCCTTAATGTTGCATGACCCCAGGAAATACAATACAAATACACCCACCCAGGCACCGAGAGGCGGGACAGACAGCAGACTGTCAAACCAGTAGTGTTTCCTTGTCATCGCTCACTTTGTGACTGACAGGTGCCTGTCCTATCAATTCCATTTACATTTGACATTTTAGTAATTTAGCACAGTGGTTCCCAACCTTTTTCGGGTTAATGTACCACCAAGTACATTTTGCTCTGCCTGGAGTACCCCTGAAGTACCCCCTCATGTGCATTTTACCAGTAAACCTATGGTCTCATGAGTTCTAAAGTACCCCCTGTGGATAGGCCAAGTACCCTCAGGGGTTCTAGTACACCCTGGTTGGGAAACACTGATTTAGCAGAAGCTCTTATCCAGAGCGACTTACAGGAGCAATTAGGGTTAAGTACCTTGCTCAAGGGCACATCGACAGATTTTTCACCTAGTCAGTTCGGCAGACTTTTTTTCTGACTAGCAAATTGAAAAGTAGCCTAGTTAATTTATTGTGAGTGGAAAAAGTACCCGGCTGAAAATTAGTCTGTAATCGGCTGTATAGTCGACAGCCGGCGCTAGTGGAAAAGACAGCACACACACACACACACATCCCTGTACCTGATGCTCCAGAACTGCATTACCTCCCTCCCTGGTCATGTCACCTCCTGGATGGGGTTTGTGTTCCTCCAGGCCCCTGCTGGTGTGCCAAAAGGGCCTGGAGGGCCCAGGGCCAGCCAATATTATCTGACGAGGCCTAGGGCCATGCCCCACATGAGAGGGAGGGAGACAGACAGTACCCATTATACAGTCAAACCAGAGGTGTTACATAACACTAGCTAATAAATACTGTTTGTACTAATGGTCTTAAAGAGACACTGCAGATTTAAAACCTGAACAAAACACGAGTGTTTCTGTGATGAATGGGTTCATTCATATTGTTACTTGTGCGCAGGCGCTAGAGCATGAGGGCAGTTGGGAACATGGCTACTTAGCATTAGTGTTTCCCTGTTTGATGGTACACATGCAGAGCAACATGCAGACCAACGTGCAGAACAACGTGCAGAACATCGTGCAGACCAACGTGCAGAACATATTGCAGACCAACGTGCAGAACATCGTGCAGACCAACGTGCAGACCAACGTGCAGACCAACGTGCAGAACAACGTGCAGAACATCGTGCAGAACATTGTGCAGAGCAACGTGCAGACCAACATGTCGAACAACATTTAGAGCAACATTGTTTTCATGTCAAAGCAATAATGCTGAATGTTGTATTTATTTTTTCAATATTTGTTCAGTTCACTCATTACTACCCTCCTTTCTCCAAGTAAATGTTTCAAGCCCCATATAGATGTTTTGCATCATAGAGTTTTGCATCATGAAGAATCCCAGCTCCTTTCAAACGCTCTGTCTGACATGAAATACCATTGCAAAACTGACACATCCTCAATTTTATTTTGGTTTGGATTCTTCCATACTTTTGTATTCCTCTGGGTGTGCGAAGGTGGGAAGGAGTGTCTTTGATCTTCACTAAACACAGAAAAGAGAGTGAGGAAGAAAGACGTTGAGGAGGGAGGACGAAAAGGGATGATGAAAAGGGAAGGGGCTACCTGCTGCGAGGGACACACCTGGACACTAGGCCTCCTCTGTTCTCTGCTCTGTTCTCTCTCTGAAGAAAGGAAGTCCTGTGTGCTGGCTAATGACAGTTTAGTTCTCGCCACAGGCTAGTGCTCTGATGACTAGCTATACAGATGTAGGATCTTAAGTTGACCAGTAACGTTTAGTCCATAATGTTGCTTGATCGGTTGTTAGGCTATTAGCTGAACGAAAGTAGGCTACATGAAAAGTGCAATACTGTTAATATAACCGTGTGTTAGTGAGGGTTTTCAGTGACTTTATGTAAATCACAAAGCTCATCTGCATTTCCTGCAGTGCAGGAAAATTATCAGCAACAAAAGTGATCAAATTAAGATCCTATAGCTGTAGCTTCATTCATAACCTTAGAATGTGTGTCTTTACAGTACAGTACTATCCCAGCTAGCACATAATGAAAAAAATACAAATAAATAAAGTATGCTCTGGATAAGAGCATCTGCTAAATGACTAAAATATAAATAATGTTCTGAGAACCATATGTTTCTTAGAACTTGGTGAGAGCATAGTTGTCCTATGGTTATTTTGCATACAACCTTTCCACAACTTTCTGGGAATGGTGCCGGGTAGTTGCTTGGCTTTGGAACATTCTCAGCACATTTAAGGAACTTGACAAACAAATGTTGTTTTCTTGGTATTTCATTACTTTAACAGAATGTTTCCTAAAAGTTCAAACATGGTTACATATCATTTCAATTTTGGTAACCAACTGGTTTGAGATAGGGAACGTTCTCAAATAGCTCAGAGAACGTTAAGAAACAACGTTCTGTGGGAATTTCAGTACTTCAGGATAACGTTCCCTACAGGTTTCCTCATGGTTCTATTTAAAGTCATGTTCTCACATTGTTCAGAAAACGTTAAGAGAACGAACCATAAATAACACAAGAAAACTTTGGTAACGTTCAGAGAGCATTCTAAGAATGTTATTTTAAAAATATACATTCCGTTCTCAGCATCAACAAAACTCTATCCTCCATCTTAATAATAATAATAATTTATTAAACTTTTATAGCGCTTTTCATTACCGACAGAATCTCAGTGCTTGTTAAGCAAAATAAACAACAAGAAGTAATTTAAATAGGAGATATAGGCTACAACAGTAGCTACAGCAACAGTCTCCCGAGTGGCGCAGTGGTCTAAGGCACTGCATCGCAGTGCTAGCTGTGCCACTAGAGATCCTGGTTTGAATCCAGGCTCTGTCGTAGCCGGCCGCGACCGGGAGACCCATGGGGCTCTTTGGCTCTTGGACAAAATACATAAAACCTCTAAATTATGCAGCCGTCTGTCTGGCTCTGACAAATACTGTATTATCTGCTCATTCAAAGGATGAGATTGGGGGCTTTAGTCTTTGTGATCCATCGTAGAACCTCATTAATCAGCATCAATATGATGGCCCAGGGCCTTATTAAATGGTCTGCTCTGATACCACCAGCCTAAAAACGACCTAACCAGTCCCTCTGTAGCGTCACCAATTACAGACTAAACCTTTAAGGGCTGAGATGTTAGATGACCGGCAGTGACCGCCTTTCCTTCCTCCCACGGTCTGGCAATGGTTCAGGAGCACATTAAGTTCAAGAGAAATGGTCACGGTGATGGGTCATTTGCAGATGGACTCTCCACACTGTGATATTGGCTTTTAAATACCGACCTCTATAGCCAGCAGGCTTAAGTACAGTATGATGGAATTAACTGGAACTTGTTGACCTGCTCGTACTTCCTGGATTCTGCTCTTCATTCTGGTGAGCGTATGGCTAGAAGTGAAAAGGCGTTTATTTGATGATACAGTTTTATAAAAGCCTTGAACTTCATGTTTTATTTTCTGTAAGAGATTGCAAGTTGCGTGATGTATACTGGGTTCTGAAGAGATTCAATTCACTATGTCTGTATGGCTCAGTAGTTTTGTTAATCAAGCAAACATTTTGACAAGAGGCACAGTCTAAGAGAACCTCAAACTGAATGTGTTCGGTTTACGATCGTCTCGCTTTCATATCAAACGCTAAGATGCTAATTCACCTAAAGCTGAGGAGATTTGTCATTCATTACATGATGATGAATGCAAATACAGTATATCATCATTATTCCAAGGGCTGTAGCAAAAGATATAGCAGTTAACCATGAAAAAACATGGATTTGTTAATGAAAACCCACCCTGGCCCTGAATGATGAAACCAAATGTATTATTTGATTAAAGAGTTGATTTGTATTTATTCACTCCCATTCTGATTGGGTTAAGCATGACATACAGAGAAGTCTGCTGTGCTTTTAAGTTACTCTTTTAGATAGAGAAAGAGCTCCCACTGCTTAACTCTTGCCAGAGGCTTTGCTCAAAACGTTTCTTATTCTCTGCTTCCAGACCTCCACTGCCACTGTGAAAATTGTGGTCACTGATGTTAACGATAATGACCCTGTCTTCGATCCGCTCCTGCCCCAAAACTTAACAGTTACAGAGGAGGAGGCCAACTGTTTTGTGGGCCAAGTAAAGGTAAGTCTGCCCTTATGTCTACCACACTGTATACTCACTGTTTAATCCACATTACTGACTCATCCATAGACCCTTGTAGAATGCACTCATGTTAAGATACAGTAGATCTGTCTGATGAGTAAGTCAGTGTATTAGCCATGTAGATGTAATTTGCAGCTTGCATAGGCATACTGTCCAAGGGGCCTTTGACATTAAAAGTCTGTTTCAATGGAGTTTAACTTACATGTACCTGGCTTGCAGCAGTACACCCTACTGTTCCTCTGTGACTCTGGTGTCTGTCTCCCGCTGACTCTCCCTGTCCCATTTGGCTAATTGTAGTCAGTGGCCCTCATGGAGGAGAGGGTGCCAAGTCTCAACTCTCCTCTTGGCCTGCCTATCCCCCCCGGTCTCCCAGCATGTGTGCCCAGCTGCCAAGAGCCCCAGAGCAGGAAGGGCCCGTATCTTTCGGTTATCACTACGGCAACAGCCTCCAGAAACGATAAAAACACAATATTTACATCTTACAGTTAAAAGTAGTGCTCCCTGCCCACTCCGCTGTTGATCATTTTCCAATTAAATAAATGAAATTTTAATAATTTGTCATGTTCAGGGACTTCCCATAATGAGTAGCTTTGTTGGGCTCTGTTAAGCTGTGAGGAGTTATAATTAGTGGTGTAGATTAATAGGGCAGGGAATTGTTAGTGGAATAAGCGGATACTAATGCAGTCAGACATCTTTGGAGGGACTCAGTGTTTGTTTTGTACAGTGCAGCACACCACTGTGTTGTGAATCGTAAGATGAATGTTTACGTGTGTGTGTGTATGTGTGTGTGTGTGTGTGTGTAGTGTTGCCTGGAGAAGTGGGTATGCCAAAACAAATCAAAATGGTCCACCCAGCGAAGGAAAGGCACCCTGTGTGAAAAATCCTATGAGATACAGTAAAATTAGATTTTTTGTGTAGTTACCCTTTAATTCAAGTGTGCAGGCACCTAGCACTGTCATTTGGTTAGCGGTGTTTCTGTAGCGCATGAGATGGGGTTTGCAAAATAAATAGCAACTCGATTGATGCAAATAATCATGATATCGTGCTGCCAGGTAGGCATAGGCTACTTTGTAGTTAACATTTAATTGAGAAGGTTTTTGGGAAAGCCTTTCCATCTACCAGAAGACGTTTAGGCCTATCATTAGAATCTATATTTTTCCTGTTCCTTAATTGTTTGAAACCTGGACGTTTTACTTCATATTATGAGGCATGTCTTACCTTGCTTCAAAGTAGCCTATAGCTCAAATCCCACCATAGAAACTTGTAGGCAATTATTTTGATAAAGACTTCCTCATATGCGTTCTCCTGTTCTATTGGTTTTCTTTCAACTTTCTTTCTTTCATTGTCTAGCAGCCAAAGGCGTTATCCTAGTCATATTATCAACCCATGATAGTTATTGCATCTTTAGATCTCCTAATTTCTAACGGATATTTCCATCTCTGTCCGCTCGCATGTGCAGTGCGTGTTTTAGAACAGTGTTTTGCCGTGTGTACATCACTGCGCCTAAAATGTGAAGAAATAATAGTTTATCAAAATGTTAAGCTAAAACATTCTGATCTGTTCCATCAGCCTTATTAATTGACATGGCGTATACCTCCAATACACTACTTTAATACGCATCAGTGGGGATTAAGAAGTGAGTATATGCAATGCCCACTGAAAGATATACCTGTGGGCTCCAGAGTGGCGCAGCGGTCTAAGGCACTGCATCTCAGTGCTTGAGGCGTCACTACACTTCAGAGGGAGTTCCATAGGGCAGCGCACAATTGGCCCAGCGTCGTCCGGGTTTGGCCGGTGTAGGCCGTCATTGTAAATAAGAATTTGTTCTTAACTGACTTGCCTAGTTAAATAAAGGTTAAATAAAAAAATTGAAATATATACCCTCCACTACACCCCTGTGTGTGTGTGTGTGTGTGTGTGTGTGTGTGTGTGTGTGTGTGTGTGTGTGTGTGTGTGTGTGCGTGCCTGTGTGTGTCCCAGCGCACAACATTGGGGGCCCGCTCCCAAACCTGATCCTTCATTTCCTCCAACCTGACAATCACTCCAACCACATAACTTGGCCTCCAGTGGGAAGTTTTGGACACGCTCCCAACCCTAACATTCCATGTTTGTCCCCCACAGCTAACCAGGAGCAAAACCATGGACCACAAGCCACATTAAAGCTGGTCAGAGGTCCTGAATATATCTCAGCCAAACATTGCCAAACATGACCATCAACAGTAACTCTCCCACCAAACTGCAATATTTGATCAAATAAGCTCTCAGATATGAACTCGGCAAATAATCAATTTCTGCAATAACATCTCGGAATGTGCAATTAATCAGCAAGTCGCTCATACTGGCTCAGCATATGATCAGACAAGTGGGATTTGTGTGGCTACAGTGTGCGCATCGAAATGAGGAAGCCTTTATGGAACGCTAAACACTCAACCATCTGCCCTTCCTCAATCTGGCAACGCATGGATATTAGTAGCGACGGTGGGCAACCTTGTGTGTTGTGGTATTATTTATAAACTGAGTGGTTCATTGGCTGACAGCCGTGGTATATCAGACCGTATACCACAGATATGACAAAACATTTGTTTTTACTACTCTAATTACGTTGGTAACCAGTTTATAATAGCAATAAGGCACCTCAGGGGTTTGTGATATATGGCCAATATACCATGGCTAAGGGCTGTGTCCAGGCACTCCACGTTGCGTTGTGCGTAAGAACAGCCCTTAGCCGTGGTATATTGGCCATATACCACAGCTCCTCAGGCCTTATTGCTTAATTATGCAACACTTGTGTGTCATGGTGATATTTATGCAACATGTCTGATTTCTGTCCATGTCTTGTCAACACAGCTGTAATAATAATAATAATGAATAATAATAATGTTGATCCAAGTGATACAAGGCGCTGTCTGTAAGACAAATTAGTTTTGAATATGTGTCAGCGACGGGATAAAAATCGTTGCCTGATTGGAATTGATGTCTAAGACTTGTCTAGTTTGCTTCTATTATCTGGTTGATAGCACTATCTCCCATGTTTTACTTGGCACATTTTGTCTGCTTCTGAGCTGCATTTTGCTCTGTTTATCAAGCCAGCAAGACCCATTACTGCATTCACTTTACGAGAGAGAGTAGGCAGCATGACAAGTGAAGCAGAAATCTCTGTTCTCTCTCTGGCTCGGCGTGCCGTCTCTTCCTCGCTAGATAATGACACTATTCCCAAATTGTGGTGTTTACCGGTTGGGTCTGGTGTAATGCACGGTGTAAGACATATCTCTACTTCTCTTCGAATCAGGTTTTAATGAACTTTTAATTGATTTCTGAGAAAATGTATGCTTTCATTACCAGGCCCTGGTTCCTTTAGAAGCTAATAAAAAGGTATTGAACTCATGCCATCACTGACTGGGTAGCTATCTTCATTCTTTGGCCTGACTATTGTCTTTCGGACTGCAGTCGAGCCAACATGTTCTTTGTTATTTCTCGTGGTAGGATGTTGTACACTGCATACATTAACAGCAGGAACATCATTTGGATATTTTTTTCTACTTTTTGCACCCCATTGCAATATGCTTTGAGATAAGGCAATCTCTGTTTTTATGCGTGTGAAAATTGAAAACCAATCCTGTCTCATTATCGCCGGTCGAAAAAGAAATGTTATCTGAAAAGAAACCTTTAGTGTCCACTCCAAAGTAAATGATCACTCGTATTTTAGTAGAATACGTTTCATTTTCAACAGCGACTATCTTTTCATCTATCAATGACTTCTGGCTCCCAATCTCGAGGTGAGATGTTATGTCTTGATCCTCCTGGATCATGGCGTCTCATTCCTACAAAGACCTCCCAGTGCAGATGTAGGATCTTCAATTGAACACCCTGTTGCAGGAGAACTTTCCTGTACATTGGAGGTTTAAAAGGGCTTCTGAGGTATGTAATTTCCACTTTGAAATTTCAGATTTAATTTTCCCTTACGAAAAATGTATCAACCCCTGCACAAAATGTCCATTAATTACAATCCACAATAATAATTCAAATTTCCTGTTGCTGCAGGATTATTTTCCTCCTGTAGCAAACTGGGCCAAATTAAGATCCCACCAAATTTTTTATTTAACCTTAGATCCTGGCTTCTCGTGCCGTGCGGCTCTCACCTGCAGGTCTTGAGTCAGCGTCCCTATTACAACCGTCATGATAAACGGAGGAAGTCTCTGTGGTGAGAGCCATGTCTCTCAGAGAAGTGAGCTATCAGGGCAGAGCAGAGCACAGGACCTGAGGTACAGGTGTTGATGGAACACTTCTAGCTACAGATGCAGAGATACGTGCAACGTAGGCCTATACTACAGGAACAGAACATAAATGCAGTACTACAATGACATGAGCTATATATTCCATTAGCTCATCAGAGTGGAAAACCTCCTCCACTGTCCTCAACCTCGATCAAATCCTGAAGAGAAATGGAGGGATTAATGCTGGATACAATACAAGCCTTGCAGTATACAGACAGCACTGCTTAACTTGCACAATGAACAAATCCTTCATTTGTATTACAGAGGACACAGTTTGGAGAGAGGGTTCAACTGTAACACTGTGTACCTGTTTAAGCCTGTCAGCTTGGGGTCTGTGTATTGCTCTCTCCCTGCTGTTGAAACAGGTGTCTCATCATGTGTGTGTTCCTCCCTATTAGTTTACGCATGGTGCTTACCATATGGATGGTCTAACTCCCCCTGTGTCTCCCTCCATCATCCCTCCCTCCCTCCCTCCCTCCCTCCCTCCCTCCCTCCCTCCCTCCAGGCCACAGATCCAGACGCGGGGGTTAATGGCCAGGTGCGCTACCGACTGGTCAACCATGCCGACCTCTTCAGGATCAACTCCAATGGCACGATCTCCACCGCAGTGCCTTTGGATCGAGAGGTCAGGGGTCAGTATGACCTCATCGTGGAGGCGGAGGATGGAGCGGTGGAGGACCCCAGGAGGACCACACTCACTCTGTCGGTGACCGTGCTGAATGTGGACGATAACAGTCCGGTGTTCTCACAACCGTCCTATACGGTCAATCTGCCGGAGAATAGTCCTAAGAACACGGTCATCCTGCAGTTTACAGTGAGTGTGTGTGTGTGTGTGTGTCCAAGAGCGCACAGCACGCTCCATGCACACTCAGGAGCAAGGGTATATACTACTTCAAACACTCCACAGTCCAAATGCATCCTCTAGTACATCAAAGCACACAAAGCCAGGAGGTACATGGTTAGCCTAGAGCATATTGACAGAGGATATCAAAACCTCAGACATGGACATTACTACATGGCCTCGCTATTCAGGCACATGCTGCCAGGAAAGGGGAAACAGGAGCTGCAGATTCCCGCACAGCAGGCACTGCCTTTTGTTACATCAAATTACACCAAATATCTATGCAAACCAACCATACAAACAAACAAACAGAGCATGATTCTCTGAGTGGAGTAGGAACTGAAAAATACCAACCACCCAATTTTACCCCATTATTCACTGAGATGAAATTATGTTCATTGAAAACCTGGTTGTTTTACAAAAACCTGCCTCTAGAATTGTGATAACTTGTGTTTTACAAGAACCTTCTTCTTTGATCCAAAAGTTGAGCATATCGGCTAGACTATCTAGAATTGTGGTTATTTGTTGTTGGCCAGCCCAGAGAATACTTTTTTTGATGAGACCAGTCATGTCTCCCTGTGTAGGGCTAATCATGGTCAATTTCAGGTGGGGTTGGTTGATTGACAGTGACAGTGTCTGTCTGGTCGCAGTGCACTGATCCCTCAGCAGTGACAAACCTATCATCACCTCCCGTTGCTCCCCACGGCACACTGATCCTGTTGATAGGCTGATATTTTGGGCAGATTAGTGTGCCACTGATGGCTGAGCTAGAATGGTAGGGGGTTTATCTGTGTGTAGGCCCAAAGCTATTCTTCTCCAATACACACTCAATGTTAACACACTCTCCTCCACCTGAAAGGACTCCACAGACACACACACAGGGATGAAACCACTAATAGTGACCTCTCTCCTGACAATGGATTTGAGGAGTTACTACTGCTGATCACTGTGATTGGTCCGACGAGTGCCATTCTGTAGAAACTAGAATTGCTTGATTCTTTTGCTTTTATGATCACCTATTGAATAAGGGACTTCCAGGTTGAAATAAAAGTTGCAAAATAAAAAATGTAAGGTTCATGCTGTAACGTCGTATCATTTTCTGGCTGTTGGGTTCTTAGCAAATCAAATCAAATCAAATCAAATTTTATTGGTCACATGCGCCGAATACAACAGGTGCAGACATTACAGTGAAATGCTTACTTACAGCCCTTAACCAACAGTGCATTTATTTTTAACAAAAACAGTAAAAATAAAACAACAACAAAAAAAGTGTTGAGAAAAAAAGAGCAGAAGTAAAATAAAATAACAGTAGGGAGGCTATATATACAGGGGGGTACCGGTGCAGAGTCAATGTGCGGGGGCACCGGCTAGTTGAGATAGTTGAAGTAATATGTACATGTGGGTAGAGTTAAAGTAACTATGCATAAATAATTAAATAGGGAATTGTATCTTACGTAATACTTATTAATAACTACATTAAAAGTTACTGTATATCAGGTCCTATAGACCAGAGACCCACTAATATGGGACGCTGAACCGTTACCCACAGTATTCCTCCTCCTCCCCTCCTCCCCTCCTCCTGCTCCTCTCCTCCTCCTTCTCCTGCTCCTCCCCTCCTCCTGCTCCTCTCCTCCTCCCCCTCCTCCTGCTCCTCTCCTCCTCCTCCCCTCCCCCTGCTCCTCTCCTCCTCCTCCTCCTCCTCCTCCTCCCCTCCCCCTGCTCCTCTCCTCCTCCAGGCCAAAGACGCTGACCTGGACTCCAACATCACCTTCCGTATCCGGACCCAGGAGGCCAGGCAACTGTTTGCCGTCAGCCCAGTGACTGGAGAGCTCTCTGTGCTGCAGACTCTGGACTTTGAGACCTTGGCAGCCTCGGACCACACCTACACCTTCGTGGTGGAAGCCCTGGACAATGAAGGGATCATGCCCCCAGGCCTGGCCACTGTCACTGTAAAGATAACGGTAAGGAAACGACCTTCCCTCTGCCTCCTGCATAACAGAGCCCCATCAGTTAGGCCACCAGGCTGTTTATTACTCACAAACTGACGCCGTTGTTCAAGAGGGAAAATGCAGATGTGTGGCAGAAGACATGAGAATAAACATTTTCATAGATACATGTACAGCAAATTCTATTCACAAACATAGATATTGAAACAAACAATAAAGGGACTGTGTATGAGTTTCAGGCCCATCTGTTAGAGTAAAACTAGGCCCTCAAAATAAGGCCTTATGAAATACGTATTGTATTGTGTAATAAAGTAATTAAAAAATATATATATTGATAACATATTCACTTAGGATCTCCATAGGACTGAAAATGGATGAATGCAACAACCATGTCACTAACAAATACGGTCATGGGTGGTAACTCTACAATTTACTCGAAAAGCAAGGCACTCTGGGAAGTATTTGAATAGGGCTTTACACTAAGGAGTGTGTTAATTTAACACTGTTCTGGTGTCTATATGAGTCCACAGACTCAACATTTTGTGTTGATTTAACTTGTGGCTCTACTCTTTCTCTCTATCTCTCTTTCTCTCTATCTCTCTCTCTCTCTCTCTCTCTCTCTCTCTCTCTCTCTCTCTCTCTCCTCTCTCTCATCCATCCTTCCCTCCCCCCACACAACCCCCTCTCTCTCTCTCTCTCTCTCTCTCTCTCTCTCTCTCTCTCTCTCTCTCTCTCTCTCTCTGTCTTTCCATCTCTCTCTCCCTCCATTTATCTATTTCTCCCTCTCTCTCACCCTCTTTCTATCTCCCTCTGTCTCCCTCCATCTCTCTCCCTCCCTCCCTCCATCTCATTCTCTCCCTCCCTTTCTCTCCCCCATCTTTCTCTCTGGTCTGAAACCACTAGCCACCCTCATCACCACTGAGCTAAAGAGAGATAAATTATCCTCCAGCTACCTCTCATTTCTCCTGGCCTGACAAAAGACAGGCTGACAGATTGATACTGTAGTACAGTGCTGTGGTATTTTATGTCTTGATGGTCATTAGGTTTGTGAGGGCTCTATTTTGTCAGTATTGTGGCCATCTGATTTATTATGTTTCAGAAGATTAACCACCAGACACGTGCTGAATGGAGATTAGCCTGCCGTTGGCCTCGGCATGACGCTCCTAGAACAGTAGAACAGTAGAACAGTAGTAAAGTAGAATAGTAGGACAGTAGAATAGCAGTACAGTAGAATAGTAGTATAGTAGAACAGTTTAACAGTAGTACAGTAGTATAGTAGTACAGTAGAACAGTAGAACAGTAGAACAGTAGAACAGTGGTACAGTAGTATAGTAGAACAGTAGTATAGTAGTATAGTAGAACAGTGGTACAGTAGTATAGTTGAACAGTAGTATAGTAGAACAGTAGAACAGTAGTACAGTAGTATAGTAGTACAGTAGAATAGTAGAACAGTAGTATAGTAGAACAGTAGAACAGTAGTACATTAGTATAGTAGAACAGTAGAACAGTAGTACAGTAGAACAGTAGTACAGTAGTATAGTAGAACAGTAGAACATTAGTATAGTAGAACAGTAGAACAGTAGAACAGTAGTACATTAGTATAGTAGAACAGTAGAACAGTAGTACAGTAGAATAGTAGAACAGTAGTACAGTAGAATAGTAGAACAGTAGTACAGTAGTATAGTAGAACAGTAGAATAGTAGTACAGTAGTATAGTAGAACAGTAGTACAGTAGTATAGTAGTACAGTAGAATAGTAGTATAGTAGAACAGTAGTACATTAGTATAGTAGAACAGTAGAACAGTAGTACAGTAGAACAGTAGTACATTAGTATAGTAGAACAGTAGAACAGTAGTACAGTAGAACAGTAGTACAGTAGTATAGTAGTATAGTAGTATAGTAAAATAGTAGTATAGTAGAACAGTAGAACAGTAGAACAGTAGTACAGTAGAACAGTAGTATAGCAGCACAGTAGAACAGTAGAACAGTAGTATAGTAGAACAGTAGTATAGTAGTACAGTAAAATAGTAGAACAGTAGTATAGTGGAACAGTAAAATAGTAGTACAGTAGTATAGTAGAACAGTAGTACAGTAGTATAGTAGTACAGTAGTACAGTAGTATAGTAGAACCATAGTACAGTAGTATAGTAGAACAGTAGTATAGTAAAACAGTAGGACAGTAGAACAGTAGAACAGTAGTACAGTAGAACAGTAGTACAGTAGTATAGTAGAACCATAGTACAGTAGAACAGTAGTACAGTAGTATAGTAGAACCATAGTACAGTAGTATAGTAGAACAGTAGTATAGTAAAACAGTAGGACAGTAGAACAGTAGAACAGTAGTACAGTAGAACAGTAGTACAGTAGTATAGTAGAACCATAGTATATTAGTATAGTAGAACAGTAGTATAGTAAAACAGTAGGACAGTAGAACAGTAGAACAGTAGTACAGTAGAACAGTAGTACAGTAGTATAGTAGAACCATAGTATAGTAGTATAGTAGAACAGTAGTATAGTAAAACAGTAGGACAGTAGAACAGTAGAACAGTAGAACAGTAGTACAGTAGAACAGTAGTACAGTAGTATAGTGGAACAGTAGTACAGTAGTATAGTAGAACAGTAGAACATTAGTACAGTAGAACAGTATAACAATATTATAGTATAACAGTAGTACAGTAGAACATTAGTACAGTAGTATAGTAGAACAGTAGTACAGTATTACAGTAGAATAGTAGTATAGTAGAACAGTAGTACAGTAGAACAGTAGTACAATTGGCACTAAAATAGATCAGGCTCGTAATATGGTATTACACAGCACTTAAATGAGACTGTAGTACTCAGTCGGTGTCCTTGAGTAGAATTCTTTAGATCTAGCTGCTAGATATGTTACACATGAAAAATGATACTGTTAGAGGGACAATGGAGGAGAACGTCTTTGAAGCTATGAAGCACTGCTGCTTTGTGTTAGGGTTTAGCATTCTCACTCCCTCACTCCTCACAAATATGATGACCTGTGTGTTTTACCAGCCTAACAACAGGGGAAAAGGAATGAAAACTACAAATGAGGTGTATCCATCATCCTTCCTGTATTTTAAAGGGCAGGGAAACAGATTTTGTTCCTTTCCGTCTGGCGTAGCTAGTCGGTTATTATTTGCTGTTGAGACAGAACAGTGCGCTGTAGTGTAGGGTGATAATGTAATGTGATTCCTGGTCTGTGGAGACTAGAGGGATAGCGGAGTGATTAAGCTGTGAGATCGCTTCCATGGGTTCTATAGACTTGATCAGGAAACCATCGCTAGAAACACAATAACACCGTTGAGATTCTTTGCCGCAGCGTTTTCTGTCTGTTCTGTTATCTGAGCCAGACTGCCAGAGTAAAACTCACTCTCCAGAAGAAGTGTGAATATAAAAGGTGACACTGATGAAAGCTGCTGTCTTCCCATACGCCTCTTTTTATGTGTGGACAGAAAGACAGAGAGCCGCTAGGTTTTATTAACAAGCCGAAGTGCTGTACCAAGGACGTTTCTGTATACATTCTGTGAGCAGGAGGAAGCCAGAGGAAGATGTGTAATTTGTATACCTGAACTAGCCTGGCCTCATCTTGGACTTTGTGAGGCGACATGCTCTATTGAATGCTTTACAATGCAGCTCAGACTTAATGATGAATAGTTGAGCAGCCGGCAGCATCATGCTGTGGGATGTTTTTCATCGGCAGGGACTGGGAAACTGGTCAGAATTGAAGGAATAATGGATGGCGCTAAGTACAGGGAAATTCTTGAGGGAAACCTGTTTCAGTCTTCCAGAGATTTGAGACTGGGACGGAGGTTCACCTTCCAGCAGGACAATGACCCTAAGCATACTGCTAAAGCAACACTTTAGTGGTTTAAGGGGAAACATTTAAATGTCTTGGAATGGCCTAGTCAAAGCCCAGACCTCAATCCAATTGAGAATCTGTGATATGACTTAAAGATTGCTGTACACCAGCGGAACCCATCCAACTTGAAGGAGCTGGAGCAGTTTTGCCTTGAAGAATGGGCAAAAAAAATCCCAGTGGCTAGATGTGCCAAGCTTATAGAGACATACCACAAGAGACTTGCAGCTGTAATTTCTGCAAAAGGTGGCTCTACAAAGTATTGACTTTGGGGGGGGGGGGTGAATAGTTATGCACGCTCTTCTGTTTTTTTGTCTTATTTCTTGTTTGTTTCACAAGAAAAAATATTTTGCATCTTCAAAGTGGTAGGCATGTTGTGTAAATCAAATGATACAAACTATTTTAATTCCAGGTTGTAAGGCAACAAAATAGGAAAAATGCCAAGGGGGGTGAATACTTTCGCAAGCCACTGTAGATCAGACTCTGAATATCCATTTGAGCATGGATAAGTTATTAATTAGGCTTTGGATGGTGAATCAATACACCTAGTCACTACAAAGATACAGACATCCTTCCTAACTCAGTTGTTGGAGAGGAAGGAAACTGCTCAGGGATTACACCAGGAGGCCAATGGTGATTTTAAAACAGTTACAGAGTTTATTGGTTGTGAAATGAGAAAACTGTGGATGGATCAACAACATTGTAGTTATTCCACAATGCTAACCTAAATGACAGAGTGAAAAGAAGGAAGGCTGTACAGAATACATCTATTCCAACAAGGCACTTAAGTACTACTGGCAAAAATGTGGCAAAGAATTTAACTTTTTGTCCTGAATACAAAGCGTAATGTTTGGGGCATATCCAACACAACACCAGCTGTAATCGCCTCCAAAGGTGTTTCTACAAAGTATTGACTCAGGGGTGTGAATACTTACGTAAATTAGATATTTCTGTATGCCATTTTGGTTTAGTGCTATGCCTAAGTGCTAATGGGAGACTCTCTAGGCCAGGCTGACAGTTGTAAATGCCGCCAGTCCTTCAGTGGAAGTTGAAGGATGAGCAGGGAAAAATGGCTTGCCAGGTCCAGCAGCAGTGACAGTGATGGCGCTAGCTACTTCACTAATTCACAATCATGTTGAAATCAGTAAAACACTCTGAAGCGACAGCATGTTAATGGAGGGTATCTGTTTACAAACTCCTGCCTACACAGACATGCTTCTCATTCTGAGCATCTAACTGTGAGGAGTGGTCCTCTGTAGCTCAGCTGGTAGAGCACGGCGCTTGTAACGCCAAGGTAGTGGGGTCGAACCCCTGGACCACCCATATACAAAAAAAAAATGTATGCACGCATGACTGTAAGTCGCTTTGGATAAAAGCGTCTGCTAAATGGCATATTATTATTATTATTATTATTGAGTATCTTTATTATTGTAGTAGTTTTCATTCTGACAACTGGAAGCATCTACATGTGAGGGGTATATTTTCATTATTTTAGTAGTAGTAGCAGTAGTAGTAGTAGTAGTAGTAGTAGTAGCATTATCAATAATAGTAGCAGCAGTAGTAGCAGTAGCAGTAGTAGTAGTAGTAGCATTATCAATAGTAGTAGCAGCAGTAGTAGTAGTAGCAGTATGAGCAGTAGTAGTAGTAGCAGTAATACTAGTATCAGTAGCAGTAGCAGCACTATGAGAAGCAGTAGAAGTAGCCGTAGTAGTAGTAGCAGTGTGAGCAGCAGTAGCAGTAGTAGTAGTATTAGTAGTAGTGGTAGTACTTGTAGTAGTAGTAGTAGCAGCAGTAGCAGCAATAGTAGTAGTAGCAGTAGCAGCAGTAGTAGCAGTAGTAGTAGTAGTAGCAGTAGAAGAAGTAGTAATCGTAGCAGTAGCAGCAGTAGTATCAGTATCAGTAGTAGTAGCAGTAATAGTAGTAGCAGTATTAGTAGTAGCAGTAGCAGTAGTGGCAATAGTACCAATAGTACCAGTAGTAGTAGTAGCAGTAGCAGTAGCGTGGCCTATCTCAAGGCCATCAGACTGTTAAATAGCCATCACTAGCCAGCTACCACCTGGTTACTCAACCCTGCACCTTAGAGGCTGCTGCCCTATGTACATAGACATGGAATCACTGGTCACGTTAATAATGGAACACTAGTCACTTTAATAATGTTTACAAACTGTTTTACTCATTTCATATGTATATACTGTATTCTACTGTGTTTTAGTCAATGCCACTCCAACGTTGCTCGTCCCAATATTTCTATATTTCTTAATTCCATTATTTTACTTTTAGATTTGTGTGTATTGTTGTGAATTGTTAGATACGACTGCACTGTTGAAGCTAAGAGCACAAGCATTTCAAGCATCTGCTAAATATGTGTATGTGACCAATAAAATATGATTTCATTTCATTTTAGCAGTAGTAGTAGTAGTAGTAGTAGTAGTAGTAGTAGTAGTAGTAGCGGTAGTAGCAGTAGCAGGAGTAGCAGTATTAGTAGAATAAGTAGTATAGTAGTAGTAGTAGTAGTAGTAGCAGTAGTAGTAGTAGTAGTAGTAGCAGGAGTAGCAGTAGCAGTATTAGTAGAATAAGTAGTAGTAGTAGTAGTAACAATAGTAGTAGTAGTAGTAGTAGCAGTAGTGGCAGTAGCAGTAGTTGTTGTAGTAGCAGTAGTAGTATTAGTAGCACTAGAAGTAGTAGTAGCAGTACTTTGTAGTAGTAGCAGTAGTAGGAGTAATAGTAGCAGTAGCGGCAGTAGCAGTAGTTGTTGTAGTAGCAGTAGTAGTATTAGTAGCACTAGTAGTAGTAGTAGCAGTAACGTTAGTAGTAGTATTAATAGTAGTAGTAGTAGTAGTAACATTAGTAGTAGTAGTAGCAGTAACAGTAGTAGCAGTAGTTGTAGTAGCAGTAGTAGTAGCAGTAACAGCAGTAGAAGTAGTAGTAACAGTAGTAGTAACAGTAGTAGTAGTAGTAGTAGTAGAAGCAGCAGTAACAGTAGTAGTAGTAGTAGCAGCAGTAGAAGCAGTAACAGTACTAGCAGTAGTTGTAGTAGCAGTAGTAGTAACAGTAGTAGTAGTAGCAGTAGTTGTAACAGTAGCAGTAGTAGTAGTAGTAGTTGTAGTAGTAGTAGCAGTAGCAGTAGAAGTAGCATTATATCAGTAGTAGGTTTTTACAGTAAAAAGAGCTGTTGATTAAGACACTTATCTTACTAATTCCATTGGTGTGTTTCTCTCTGTCTTATCCAGGATATGAATGACTACTCTCCAGTGTTCAGCCAGGTGGTGTACAGGGGCATGGTAGCTCCCAACGCAGTCAAGGGGACCGTGGTCGCCACGGTACAGGCAGAGGACCTAGACCCTCCTGTGAGTAGACAACAATGTGACAGCTCTGTGCTCTGTGCTTGACTATAACTTTACAACATGGCTGCCCGGTTTCTGCTCCCGTGGCGACGCGGGTGAGAAAGCGATTTAGAGGAGAAAATAAAAGGTTACTGTGCTTGTTCATTGTAGTTGTGTTTGCATGACTTGTTTCTATTTAATAAGCATGGTCCACAGAGGATGGTGTCCCATTGTTGGAATGCTTAATGATTTAGAAACACTATAAGGTCAAAAGTATGTGGAAACCCTTTCAAATTAGTGGATTTGGCTATTTCAGCCACACCTGTTGCTGACAGGTGTATAAAATCGAGCACACAGCCATGCAATCTCCATAGACAAACATTGGCAGTAGAATGGCCCGTACTGAAGAGCTCAGTGACTTTCAACGTGGCACCGCCATAGGATGCCACCTTTCCAAAAAGTCAGTTTGTCTAATTTCTGACTTGCGAGAGCTGCCCCTTTCAACTGTAAGCTATGTTATTGTGAAGTGGAAACGTCTAGGAGAAACAACGGCTCAGCCGCAAAATGGTAGGCCACACAAGCTCACAGAACGGGACCGCCGAATGCTGAAGCGCATAGCAGCACAATAACTGTTAGTCGGGAGCATAATTAAATGGGTTTCCATAGCCGAGCAGCCGCACACAAGCCTAAGATAACCATGCGCAATGCCAAGCGTCGGCTGGAGTGGTGTAAAGCTCGCCGCCATTGGACTCTGGAGCAGTGGAAACATTCTCTGGAGTGATGAATCACGCTTCACCATCTGGCAGTCCGAAGTACAAATCTGGGTTTGGCGGATGCCAGGAGAACGCTTCCTGCCTGAATACATAGTGCCAACTGTAAAGTTTAGTGGAGGAGGAATAATGGTCTGGGGCTGTTTTTCATGGTTCAGGCTAGACCCCTTAGTTCCAGTGAAGGGAAATCTTAACGCTACAGCATACAATGAAATTCTAGATGATTCTGTGCTTCCAACTTTGTGGCAACAGTTTGGGGAAGGCCCTTTCCTGTTTCAGCATGATAATGCCCCCGTGCACAAAGCGAGGTCCATACAGAAATGGTTTGTCGAGATCGGTGTGGAAGAACTTGACTGGCTTGCACAGAGCCCTAACCTCAACCCCATCGAACACCTTTGGGATTAATTGGAACACCGACTGCGAGCCAGGCCTAATCGCCCAACATCAGTACCCGACCTCACTAATGCTCTTGTGGCTGAATGGAAGCAAGTCCCCGCAGCAATGTTCCAATATCTAGTGGAAAGCCTTCCCAGAAGAGTGGAGGCTGTTATAGCAGCAAAGGGGAGACTAACTCCATATTAATGCCCATGATTTTGGAATAAGATGTTCGACGAGCAGGTGTCCACATACCTTTGACCATGAACTTGTTCTCAACTGGCTTACCTGGTTAAATAAAGGTGAAATAAAAATAAAATAAAATAAATGTAGTGTACATCGGTAGGAGTTGGAGTTGTTGTAATGTGTTTTGGTTGTGTTATGCTATTATTTCCGATGGAGGCTATGTCTCATTATTTTGGGCTTTCATTTATTTATAATGTTTTGTGTTGGTCGATTTGTTCATTCCTACATAAGTTATAGGTTATCTATGAGAGAGGTTGATATCACTACATGTTCTTACATTTTATAGCCATGGGTGGACCTGCAGGCAGAAAGCAATCTGCCTTCTGCATATCATATAGGAGCATATTCCAGATGCTTACTGTGTTGTGGGATTTCATTGGCCTGTGGCCTGAAGAAATAATGCCAGTGTTACCAAGCCGACGTCTCAAGGCGTGGAGAATCATCCGTGCCTCAGCAACAAGCTCCTGAATATACAATGATATTAACTGCTTGATTTCACAAATTCACCCATCACATTGGTAGATGACTTACGGTCTCTCAGAGCAAATAACGCACAGAGCAAATGTTATTAATGAATGATAACAGTCAATTGATATGCAGTGGTAATAGTCTAAGGCATTTCACAAACACATAGATAATATTACATATTTACACACATGTAGCTAGTGCATAGTGGTACAATATGACATCAGCAGTGCTTACTGTATAAAGACAGTTTACCCTTTAACTTACCCGTCCTGTCATAGGTAAAGTTATTCTAAAGCGTTGTTAAAGGTCACAGCAGTCGATAGATTAGAGGAGAGAATGAAAGAAGAGCAGGAAACGGGACAGAAAAGGAAAAGGGAGCAGAGGAAAAGAAGAGTAGAGAGCACCAGTGGAGGTCCAGGCTTGCCCTGCTGGAGACCACCCCTGCCTGGCAGGCTTGGCAGGCCGAACTGAGCCCCTGTGATATCTTTCTGCATGAGTGGGAGGCCTTGGCTGGGCTGGGACTGGGGCTGCCAGCGCCCCACACCACATCACTCCTCTCCCTCAGTAGTATGTAAAGCAGTTCTGAGATGACAGGAAAGGCAGGTTCTTAAGCTGAGCTGCGAGATGAATCACTGAAAGAGACGGGGAGGGAGAGGGAGACGCCACAGAGCCTTCCTGGCACCTTGCCTGACTGGAGCCTCAAAGCGGGCTAGCCCCCCAGAGTCACACACACACAGGTCACTCCTGGTCATAAATTCAGGCGAGGAGACAGAGCAGAGAATCTCCCTCTTGTTTTCACTCTCTCTTTCTGTTTCTCTCTCTTTCGGCTACTTCCCTCCCTCTATTCTTCCCCCCTCTCTCCATCCTCTCTCGCTCTTTCTCTACCTCTCTCACTCTCTCGCTCGCTCTCTTTCTTTCTTTCTTTCTTTCTTTCTTTCTTTCTTTCTTTCTTTCTTTCTTTCTTTCTTTCTTTCTTTCTTTCTTTCTTTCTTTCTTTCTTTCTTTCTTTCTTTCTTTCTTTCTTTCTTTCTTTCTTTCTTTCTTTCTTTCCATCCAAGTTTGTTGACAGATAAGCTGTGGATGGTGGGGGTCTGTGAAAATGCTGGTCCACACTGCAGATGTTATGTCACTGTGTCACTGTTCCCTCCCCTGTCCTCAGCATCTCAGAGACAATGGTCTGTCTTTAATATCAGCTTTTGTAGCATAATCTATCCTATGTCCAAGTTGGTCTTCAAAGAGATAATACTTTTTGAAACTCAAGTCAATGCTGGATGTGACTCAAGTCAAGTCTCTTTGGGTCTGTTCTGTTGTTTTATCTAACATCTCACAGGTGAATTCATTGCACTGTGCAAGCTGTTCAATGTCTTCTTCCAACTGTTCAGTATTCACGCAGGGAGGGAAGGTTTGGTGTCACAATAGAGAATATCAGTTGTTAATGAGAGGAAGGTAATCACACTCTGTTGGGCTTCTGGTATCAGGAGTTCAATTACTCCTCTCATTTCCCATCTTGTCTAATAATGTTTTATATACGATTCGCAATTAACACGATCCTATGAACAAGCTACACAATAAGCATTCATTATACTGCTATTATTAAACACCCCACCCTAGAGAGAACCCCTCCCCCTTTAATCAATCTGATAAGCAGAGTAGTTGCTTTGTCACTAAATGTTATGATCTCACACTGTGAAAGTTGAGGAAGCTAAACAAAAATTTGCTGTTGAAAGTGTAGCTTTCTCTCTATTAAAATAAGGGAAGGCACTGCAAGCCTGCTCATGACTGGCTATTGACTGGGAAGACTAATCTCCTATTCGTTAGAAGGCTGAAACATAGATGGAGAGCTTGGTCTTGTCTTTCCTGCCAGCTAAGCTACTGGGCACACGCAGGGCTGCTCTCAGCATCTCAAGACGCTAGGAAGAAGGGTTATTTTAGTCCTCTGTCAAACACTCACTTTTTCTTAAATTATTAGTTTACTGTGATGTTTGCTTGAAAATCAACTTGGAGACATTTTTTAAGAGAGCGAGAGAGAGAGATTATGATTTAGCATTGCCTATATAGCGCCCTACTTTTGAATAATTTATTGGGCAGATTTCACACATTTGTTGTGGCATTTATGCTGTTAGTAAATGGATTTGTTTGACACTTCGCTGCCACCAGGGGTGGTTCGCTCCCCCTGGAGGCTCTCTCCTTCCGCCTCACTTCACCGGCCGAAATGATATAGACACCCAACCGAGTCGCCACCTCCTCCTGCCTCTCTGTCTGCCTCCCTGCCTGCAAAGGCAACATGAGTTCACAAACAGGTCTTAGAATACGTAAAATACCTTGCGGTCCCACTTAGAGCCTTGGGTAGACAGCCCTTATGCATTTGGTTGTGATCGTCCTGTCATTGCAGATGAATGAATAGGAGGTGTGTGTTTTCCTGTTCACAGGGCACCCCTGCCAGCCATGTGCATTACAGAATGGACCTGGATGAGAACCCTTACAGTGGCAGCATCTTTGACGTGGACGAAGTCACAGGCAGCGTCATCACACGAGTCAACCTCAATGAAGAGCCCAATCTAGTGTTTAGTGTGAGTACATACACATCTACAATTTTTTTTTTTGGGGGGGGGGTTCTAAGAACATAACTGAGTGGAGCAATTGAGTGACACCCCATGTTCCACTTTCTTCATGTATTCATCAAATTTATTTTATTTCCCCTCTTCAGCTGGTTATTGTTGCCTATGACGACGGGGAGCCAATGAAAGTCAACAAGACCCTGGTGGTTATCACTGTCCTGCAACCGTCCATCATACCAGTTTTCACCCAGGAGGAATACAGGTACACTACATGGACAGGACTGTCATGTAGACTATTATTTGATGTACAGTCGTGGTCAAAAGTTTTGAGAATGACACAAGGATTGGTCTTCACAAAGTTAGCTGCTTCAGTGTTTTTAGATATTTTTGTCAGATGTTACTATGGTATACTGAAGTATAATTACAAGCATTCCATAAGTGTCAAAGGCTTTTATTGACAATTACATTAAGTTTATGCAAATAATCAATATTTGCAGTGTTGACCCTTCTTTTTCAAGACCTCTGCAATCCGCCCTGGCATGCTGTCAATTAATTTCCGGGCCACATCCTGACTGATGGCAGCCCATTCTTGCATAATCAATGCTTAGAGTTTGTCAGAATTTGTGGGGTTTTGTTTGTCCACCCGCCTCTTGAGGATTGACCACAAGTTCTCAATGGGATTAAGGTCTTGGGAGTTTCCCCAAAATGTCGATGTTTTGTTCCCCGAGCCACTTAGTTATCACTTTTGCTCCATCATGCTGGAAAAGGCATTGTTCGTCACCAAACTGTTCTTGGATGGTTGGGAGAAGTTGCTCTTGGAGGATGTATTGGTACCATTCTTTATTCATGGCTGTGTTCTTAGGCAAAATTGTGAGTGAGCCCACTCCCTTGGCTGAGAAGCAACCCCACACATGAATGGTCTCAGGATGCTTTACTGTTGGCATGACACAGGACTGATGGTAGCGCTCACCTTGTCTTCTCTGGACGAGCTTTTTTTCCGGATGCCCCAAACAATCGGAAAGGGGATTCATCAGAGAAAATTACTTTACCCCAGTCCTCAGCAGTCCAATCCCTGTACCTTTTGCAGAATATCAGTCTGTCCCTGATGTTTTTCCTGGAGAGAAGTGGCTTCCTCGCTGCCCTTCTTGACACCAGGCCATCCTCCAAAAGTCTTCGCCTCACTGTGCGTGCAGATGCACTCACACCTGCCTGCTGCCATTCCTGAGCAAGCTCTGCATTGGTGGTGCCCCGATCCCGCAGCTGAATCAACTTTAGGAGACGGTCATGGCGCTTTCTGGACTTTCTTGGGCGCCCTGAAGCCTTCTTCACAACAATTGAACCTCTCTCCTTGAAGTTCTTGATGATCCGATAAATGGTTGATTTAGGTGCAATCTTACTAGCAGCAATATCCTTGCCCTTTTTGTGCAAAGCAATGATGACGGCACGTGTTTCCTTGCAGGTAACCATGGTTAACAGAGGAAGAACAATGATTTCAAGCACCACCCTCCTTTTAAAGCTTACAGTCTGTTATTCTAACTCAATCAGCATGACAGAGTGATATCCAGCCTTGTCCTCGTCAACACTCTCACCTGTGTTAACAAGATAATCACTGACATGATGTCAGCTGGTCCTTTTGTGGCAGGGCTGAAATGCAGTGGAAATGTTTTTGGGGGATTAAGTTCATTTTCATGGCAAAGAGGGACTTTGCAATTAATTGCAATTCATCTGATCACTCTTTATAATATTCTGGAGTATATGCAAATTGCCATCATAAAAACTGACGTAGCAGACTTTGTGAAAATTAATATTTGTGTCATTCTCAAAACGTTTGACCACGACTGTAGATTATTATTTGATCAAAGTTGAGCCGCGGACACTGGTCGACATGTCACACGATGTAGCCTATGACAGTGCTCTGTGCTTTTATGAGGTCATATGGTCAGAGCACAGGTTTTGCTATTTTATGAGGTTATATGGTCAGAGCACAGGTTTACCTCTTTTATGAGGTCATATGGTCAGAGCACAGGTTTTCCTCTTTTATGAGGTCATATGGTCAGAGCACAGGTTTTCCTGTTTTATAAGGTCATATGGTCAGAGCACAGGTTTTCCTCTTTTATGAGGTCATATGGTCAGAGCACAAGTATTCATTTTTTATGAGATCATGGTCAGAGCACAGGTTTTCCTCTTTTATGAGGTCATATGGTCAGAGCACAGGTTTTCCTGTTTTATGATATGTTGGTCAGAGCACAGGCTTTCCTCTTTTATGAGGTCATATAGTCAGCACACAGGTTTTCCTATTTTATGAGGTCATATGGTCAGAGCACAGGTATTCCTCTTTTATGAGATCATGGTCAGAGCACAGGTTTTCCTCTTTTTTGAGGTCATATGGTTAGAGCATTGGTTTTCCAATTTTTTAGGTCATATGGTCAGAGCACAGGTTTTCCTGTTTTATGAGATCATGGTCAGAGCACAGGCTTTCCTCTTTTATGAGGTCATATGGTCAGAACACAGGTTTTCCTATTTTATGAGGTCATATAGTCAGAGCACAGGTTTTCCTGTTTTATGAGGTCATATGGTCAGAGCACAGGCTTCCTCTTTTATGAGTTAATGTGGTCAGAGCACAGGTTTTTCTCTTCTCTGCTTAGAGGCTGTATAGATCTCCAGCTTTTTAGGTTACAATGTACAGTTGTAAAATACTGACAAAACATTGTTAAGTACTCTTCGTTTAATGCCCCTTTGTGGAGATGTTAAGGTATTTAAGAGAATGCTAAACTGTGGATATATTTTCTGAAGGGGTTAGAGGCGATATGGAAACTGTCAGTTAAGCTTTTATTGCTAGTGTTTAATGAATATTTATAATAGCTCACAGCTAGAGTGTGTAGTGCAGCAAATGTACTGTACCACCACACGCTTTTGTTTTCTCAAAGGGTAGAGTGCACTTGCTCTGCATGAATTATAGCGCTTTTATTGAATTAAGTATTGTACATATATGACTGTAAGGGGCTAATACATTCAGCTCCCCTGGCATTGACTCTAGATGGATCAGCATGCTGGAGCTATGGCTTACTAAATTGCTATTATTGATTTCCATAATGAAAATTTAAAAAAGTTAGCGAGAGGTGAAGATGAGGTGCAGGTGCACTGGAGGTGATTAGGGTGCGTTGGGTTTCCATTCCGGTGTTGCCGAGGTGGTGCGCTCAGACCAGTGGCTCAGTAGACCGGCGAATCAGAGCGCCAGAGGGGAACAACGGGAGGATACGTGACAGATAGCCCTGCATTTTTATTATTATCAGCTTCATGTCTATTTTAATATCGAGGAATATTTCACATTCTCTGGTCATAGGAACAACATGAATTTGTGCAAGAGGCAGGTGCGGTGCAACTCGTGTTTTGCCATCAGGTGGAAGATCTGTCCCCTCTCTCTGGTCAGTCTCACCGGAGGAAAGGAAGGAGAGAGTAGAGACCGTGAGAGACGGACCCTCTGCTGCTCTCTCTCTCCCTCCGCTGAGTATACTGCCGTGTTCAAAACTGGGAACTCGGAAATCTTCGACTTCCCCCTTCAGTGCGTTCAAGACAACTGGGAACTCGAAAAAAACTAGATCCGACTGGGAAAAAATATTTTTGAACAGTCATCAACTCGGAATTCCAAATCGGTCATCGAAGTCGGAATTCAAAATCGGAAACTCTGGCATTTTTCTAGAGCTCCGACTTTCCGACCTGAAGATCACGGACGTCATGATTTGACTTTTTTTTTTGTTCCCAGTTGTCTTCAAAGCACCATGACCATCAGATGCAGATACCTAGTAAAATAAAAAAGCAAATTATTTGCAAATCATTTCAATTTATGTTCAGCTGTGCCTTGCAAGTGCTACACCGACTGATCTATTTTGTTATCAAAGTTTTTAAATATAATATGGTCTGAGAAGTACAATATTGGCAGGCCAGGCATATAGCCATAATACTCTGATAATGTATTAGGTCTACTACACAAACCTCATTCCTACATAACTGTTTTATTACGTTAATGTTACATTTTTTGAAAGTCATGTTTAAAAAAATATCTGAGTGGTAGATCTCGGCTTGCTTTTTGAATGCGAAAGTGAACTTGACTCAGAAAAGGTTGGTAACCACTGTACTATAAAGAACCATTAAAAAAAGTTATATATAGCACCAAAAAAGCGTTCCGCTATGGTTACAACCCTTTCGGGGGTTATATAGGACCTTTATAGAGAATGGTTCTCGAAATAACCTTTCTCAATCTCAAAGGTTATTTGTAGAACCATATAGGTTTTTTTGATTCTAGTTTAATAGCGATATTATGTTGTTACATTTCCATAGGTTTTATTATTGTGTTAATTAACAAGTTGAATCAGGTGTTCTAGCTCTAGAACAACTTGGGGTTCCTGAGGAGAAAATTGAGAACCACTGCAATTACACAAGGCCACACATGAGTCTTTTATAACACACCATCACAGGCCTTTGTCATACATTGTATCTAATAGCATAACACAACATATTAGATTAACTTGAATGACACTCTCACTCACGGTTGCACAAAAAGAGCTGTGCGTAAACCACACCCCGAAATATTCTAATGAGCCGCCGCCCCTATATTTTAATTATCACAAAAAGAGAACCATCACCCTTCCAAAAGAACCTTGAGGAACCCTAATTTTATTGTGTGTCCGAAAGCCATTTGAGCAACAATGATTTTTACCCCACCACATAGACTAATTTTCAATACCGAATATCAAGTGTGTTTGATACCCATGAAGTCCATTTAAAGTTTTCAACATCTCAATATGCTTTATATACAGTTGAAGTCGTAAGTTTACATACACCTTAGCCAAATACATTTAAACTCTGTTTTTCACAATTCCTGACATTTAATCCTAGTAAAAATTCTCTGTTTTAGATCAGTTAGGATCACCACTTTATTTTAAGAATGTGAAATGTCAGAATAATAGTAGAGAGAATGATTTCTTTCAGCTTTTATTTCTTTCATCACATTCCCAGTGGGTCAGAAGTTTACATTCACTCAATTAGTATTTGGTAGCATTGCCTTTAAATTGTTTAACTTGGGTCAAACATTTCGGGTAGCCTTCCACAAGCTTCCCACAATACGTTGGGTGAATTTTGGCCCATTCCTCCTGACAGAGCTGGTGTAAATGAGTCGGTTTGTAGGCCTCCTTGCTCGCACACGCTTTTTCAGTTCTGCCCTCACATTTTCTATAGGATT